TCAAACTACTACAAAATCTATGAAAGTGGAGAAAAACTTTCATAGATTTCTTACAGATGGCACTACAGCAGAAAAGTCGTTAAAAACCTAAACAAACATCTGCGCTTGTTGCAGATTTAGAAATGGAAAAATTCGTGAGGTCCATTGGTTCGTTGCGTGGCTTAGTTGTTGGTATATAATATAAATATTAAATAGTAAAAATAACTTCTAATTAAATTAAGCTATAAATCCTTTTGATGTAAGTATGATTTATTCATTTTAAATAAATCATAGCGCTGGCGATAGAGCTGTCCTTTTTTACAATCAATTACATATGTAATACATAAAACATTTAGAAACCATAAATAATAAATACAAAAACAAAAATTTTCAAAATTTAAAAAAAAAAAATTCTTGAGCAAAAACAAAACAACAAAAATGGGCTGTAGTAATTGAAATTGTAAGGTTTGGCAGCATTTAAATTATTTAAAAAATGTAGGTATTGTAGCTACTTTGCATTAGATTATTTTTCTTTTTGCAACAACGCAAGACAGTCGCTCGCAAAGCGCTCCGGCGAAACGTGTGTAGCGCGTCAGTAACCCCCTTTTCAAAAGTAAAGTCTTGATTCTATTGTTTCCATCCCCTTTTACATACACCTTTTTTTTAATTGTCTGTAGCTATTCAGGCATTGAATTTATATCTTATAACTTGTTAACCGCTTAATTTTCGCTATATTTGTCATTCTTCGCTGTTTCTAAGTAAACGCTATGTGTAAACAACCCAATCGGATTACTTACATAATCACAATCCAATGTCAAACTCAATGTAATTAGCAGCTTAGTTGGTTTATGACACTATTTACCTGGAAGGTTATTTATGATCCAATAAAAATAATACGGTTGTTTACCGGTTAAAGATAAAGATTTAATTACTAATTCTGTATACACACATATTGACCTTAGGTCAATGTACACATATCAAATTTTCTAAGGATCAGTTACATTTTTTTTTATGTATTCTCACACGCATTTGATCCTTAGGCATTTTTGTGCAGGGATCAATTACATATGAATTCTCACGTTTGTAATCCTTAGACTTTTTTGAGAAGGGATCAATTACATATGAATTCTCACGTTTGTAATCCTTAGACTTTTTTGAGAAGGGATCAATTACATATGAATTCTCACATGCGTTTGTTCCTTAAACATTTTTGGGCAGTGCAGTTTTTTTATAATTCTACAATTTTAACACGACATTCTTATAACGAATATTTTGTTGTACTATAACTTTTGGGTAATAACTACTAATAACACACGGTATTTGGTAATTTCCCGTATAAATCGATAAACAATTAAAGCATACAGGTCACCGCGTAATACAAAAGATAGGCTTGCTGGCTTAGATATTCTGTCATTCCGATTAAAAACCATTATGTCTGCTAGTAAAAACAGGGGATTAATTGAAACCACTGTCATACGTGTATATTTGATTTGTGTAATTTGTAGAAATATCTTAGTTTTTTTTTCAAAATGGCCGCCATAAAGAAACCGCGCTCCGCGAAAAGATTTCGGTTCAGTGAAACTGTTAAAGAAAAATTACAATCTAAGATCTGGCAGTATGGCCGATTACACGCCTCAAAGGACGAAAATTGTTTACTAGAAATATCTTTTACTTTTATGAATATCATGATATTTTTACTGTCATATTCATCTATTTTTTTCGGTGAGAGCGGTAGCCACGTTGAGACAAGCAGACGCTGGTTCGAGTCCAATCGGATTGAGGGATTTGTCCTTTGTGACTGTTCTATCTTTGTATCAACGTAAGAAACTGGTGGATTATTTTCACAAAAATATAGACATATATGTTTAGCAGAGCAACCTCTAGAGTATCTTGCTTACTTTTTCTATATTTTTTCTGATGTATTTTTGGTGCAATAAAGAATATATATAAATTAAAACAGACTATAGATGGGTAGTTATTATAATTTCCAGGTGTTAACAGAAAGGCTGGGTGAGCTGGATAGCGCTCCACCCCTGACAGTGCTACCGATTTACTCTCAACTGCCTGCCGACTTGCAGGCCAAGATTTTCCAAAGGGCACCGCCTGGACAGAGAAAATGTATCGTCGCTACTAATATTGCAGGTATAGATTGTATGGGACTTTTATAGATATATTATTATTAACGCACACACTACTAGCCCGCACTAGGGAAACCCTGTGTCGTAGGTGCCATGGACACACATAGATTACCTCTATGTGTATCCATGCCTATAGTGTGTGCGTGCGTGCGTGCGTGCGAGCGTGCGTGCGTGCGTACGTGCGTGTGTGCGTGTATACCGCCCAGTTACCGCGCCTTCATGTACGTTAATGGCGAATCTGAATTCTATTTACTAAGCAACATCATTTAAATTCCTCTGAATAATACAACCGCGCGGCCGCCGCGTACATCAAATTCAAGCCAAGCTCGCGCGCTTGCCCGGTACGCTCATTTAAGTTAAATCGTAATAGCTAAATAAATAATAAATTGCACGCGGTTTTTTGTGCGTTTACATTGCAGCTTTGCAGGAATCGAGAATAAAGTACTTGCCAAATGGCAATAGGTAATTGTTCGTGTCCTATCAAATAGAATTTTACTTTTTGGCCTTTGCATCAACTTTTTTTTTATAATGCCAAATGACCGAACGAACAATCGTGCGCCTGGTGGTAAGCGACAGCCTATCCATTACAGATGCAGTGCCACTCAGAGCTTTAAATCGCAAAGATCGTGGGGGCACTGCTGCTGCGCCCACCACCCTGAGATAGAACTTGACAAGACCCATTTGCCTGTAATTTCTCCCTAGCCTTCCAAACCAGAACGCAGTAATGCTCAGATTACTGTTTGGCGGCAGAAATAGGTAAGGTGGCAGTACTTCCCTAGACGAACTCTTTCACAAGGAGCTCTACTGCTACTAAAATGGGTGTTCCGCAGGGCTCAATACTTGGACCTTTCTTATTTCTCATTTATATTAATGATCTACCATTCTTTGTTAAGAAACTTTGCGAAATAGTATATACTGACGACACTTCCTTGATTTTTAAAACAGACAGACATGACGTAAACTATGACAACATTAACGATACCCTCTCAAAGGTAAAGGTGTTTATGAAGCAAAAGCCGTGTGCCAGGATCTTAGCAAGTGGAAGGCTGTGGTCTCTGGCTACCCCAGTGTGAAAAACGGCGCGAAGTGTATGTAATGTATGTGTTGCGGTTTCAAATCGCGGTATAAATGTTAGACAACAACACACACGTTGCTCTGATCCGTTCTGGCAATTTGAAACAACGATGGTACCACAAACCCGAGACAATATAGAAAAGTTAGTTTTTCTACTTTGACTCGGCCGGGGATCGATCCCGGGTCCTCAGAAATGGCGACCACATGAAAACCGGTGTGAAAGCCACTCGACCACAGACGTTGTCAATTATTATTATTAATATAAAATAATGTTTTGTGTTGGTTTATTACAGAAACATCTCTAACGGTGGACGGCATAATGTACGTCATAGATTGCGGGTACTGCAAGCTGAAGGTGTACAATCCGAGGATCGGCATGGATGCTCTGCAGGTCAGTGCTCATTGCTCATTAATAATAACTGGTTTAGATCTCAGGGCCCCCAAGTCTGTTACTTGTATATAGTCTTAGTTGTATACCGGTAGAGTCTTAATGGCAGGATTTTGTAGGTTTGTTATTCTGTTAAAAGTTAAGAGTACTGCCTTGTATATATATAAAAATAAGTGCGCATTTGACCTCCACCTCACCTGATGGAAAGTGACGATTAGGTCGAGAATGCACACCTAAATAATGCCTATTCACTCTCGCCTTGAAAAGGTCCAATTTATAGCATTCGGGGAACAAGTCTGCAAGCAGGGAATTCCACACCCTAGCCGTTCGCCGTACAGATGTGGAAGCGAAACGCTGCGTACGAATCTGGGGAATATCCACAACATAGGGGTGGAAGGGGGCGGCGGAATCAAATTATGCAATTCCGTCCCACACTCTCCGTGATATATCCTGTAGTATACCGATAAGCTGGCAACTCTTCGGCGGTGTTCAAGGCTCTGCAGCTTCGCCTCTACTAATTCCGAGTCACCTATAAGCCTCTTAGCACTTTCTTTGTCTATTGAATCCAAGGTGGCCAGTTGGTATTTAGCAAAGCCATCCCAAAGGTGGCAGCAGTACTCCATACACGACCGGACTTGTGCTTGGTACAGCTGAAGCAACTGTCCCAGTGTGAAGTAACGCCTCACCTTGAAAAGGATGCCAGGCTTCCTGGCTGCATTTTTGGCCATGTATATATAATATCAAGTGACGGGACGAACAAATCGTGAGCCTGATGGTAAGCTACACGCCTGTCCATGACAGTTGCAGTGTCACTTAAAGCTTTAAATCGCAAAGATCTGAGGGGCACTGCCACTACGCCCATCACCCTGTGACACAAGTTGACAATTCCTAAGTAATTTCACCAGCACCGTTACCCTTCGAAACCGAAACGCATTAATGCACACATCTTGTTCGTCCCGTTCAAAAAAAGTCTATAATCTAGCTTTGGTGGTGAAATCATGAGACCAGGTGCTTGGTGGAATTTTCACACATGTATTACCTTTCCAGATCTATCCCGTCAGTCAAGCCAATGCCCGCCAACGCGCAGGTCGAGCGGGCCGAACTGGACCAGGCAAAGCGTTCTGCCTTTACACACAACGGCAGTATCAACACGAACTACTGTCAGCCACTGTACCCGAGATACAGAGGACCAATCTTGCTAACACCGTGTTACTCCTGAAATCGCTTGGTGTGGAAGATTTGTTGGCTTTCCATTTTATGGATCCGCCTCCTCAGGTGAGAAAGACTATTCAATATCGAATTAGGTTTTAGCGATTGGATGTTTTTTAGTACAAAAAAATAAATGCGCATTTCACCACCATCTCACCTGGTGGAAAGTCACGTTGTGGTCGACGATGTGGCATACATACCTAAATAATGCCTATTCACTCTCGCCTTGAAAAGGTCCAAGTTATAGCGTTCGGGGAATAAGTGCGCTCGCCATATAAATGTGGAAGCGAAACGCTGCGTCCGGGGAATATCCACAACATAGAGGTGGAAGCCCACCCACGTCTAGTCCCCCGATTATGGAAAGGGGAAAGTGGAATCAAATAATGCAATTCCATCGCACACTCTCCGTGATATATCCTGTAAAATACTGATAAGCAAGCAACTCTACGACGGTGTCAAAGCTTTGCAGATTCGCCTCTAGTAAATCCTAATCACCTATAAGCTTCTTGGCACCCTTGTCGATTGAATCCAAGTTGGCCAGTTGGCATTTAGCAGAGCCATCCCATAAGTGGCAGTAGTACTCCATACACGACTGGACTTGTGCTTGGTACCGCTGTAGTAACTGGCCCGGTGTGAAGTAACTCCTCACCTAGGAAATAATGCCAAGGTTCCTGACTGCATTTATTGGCCATGGATTCAATGTATCGTAATTATAATAACGCACACACTGCACCAGGGAAGCCCTGTGTCGCGAGTGCCATGGACAACCATAAACACCTACACCATAGATTACACGCAAACTCACGAGAGAAATCATTATCATCATTCAGCCATACGACGCCCACTGCTGGGTATAGGGCTCCCCCTACAATCTCCACGACGATCGGTCCTGCGCTGCCCGCATCCGTCGACTTCCACGACGTCGAGAGAAATAAATGTAGGCAATAAAAATATTTCTCTCGGCACGAGAAATCGAGCCCGGAACGTCGTCGTGACAGGCCTGCATGGTAACCATTCGGCCACGGAAACAGTTGATGATAGTCTGTCTAGTACTTTATGCATATTAAAGGCCCATTTAGATGGAGAGAGTTTATCGCACGCTTCGTTACGAAAAATCGTATGCGATTATCGTAAGCAATAATCGCCATAAGATTATCGTATCATAATGTTTACATTCAGGCAAGAACTAAAATCTCGCCTACGATTATGTCATACGAGATTCGCAAGCAACTTAATCGCCTGTTTACACAGAGAAATATGTAGTAAGGAGATTCTTGCTTACGAGTTTTCGACTTGTCTAAATACGATCTCGTATGACATTTTTTCAAGTTCATACGATTATCGTACAAATTGGTTCGAACCGTTTTGATTGCGAGAATTGCCATTCGAGTTCAGTGATTACTTCGGTATTGACTATGAATATATCAAAATGACGCAAAAATCATTCAAATTTGGAACTGCTGATAGTATTAAGTTCATTGCACTGTACAGAAATATACATTTTTTTATAATTTTTTTAAATTTTATAACATTTGTTAACCCATTTTTTTTCCTTTTTGTTTCCTATTCTTGTTTTAGAAAAGCAGTGATGATCAAAACACCCTCGCGCACTGCACTCATGATAGAAAGGGTAGAAACGGCTGGCACAAAAACTCGAAATACGATTTTTGCTTTCAAGTTCTGTTTACACGGAGACGTTCAATAATCAAAGGCAAGGCGATTATCGCTCACGTGGAAGGACGATAATCACGAACGTTTAGACGAGGAAAGTTTTTTATATTCTTTCGATAATCGTATCTTCGAAAAGAGAAACTCTCTCCATCTAAATGGGCCTTAAGAGTCGATACTCCTTTAGCCCGAATTCAAATTACATTTCCCGTACTGATACGATTCATTTTGCTTGGGTCGAGCGGGACATTGGCTTTATTTCAGAATTAATTTTTTTACGAACGAAATTAATAATATATATTTATTTAAAAATATATATTTTATACTATACGTGTTCTATATAGTTCAGTTGATATTAAAAAAGTCATTGGTGTACGTAAAGTACCTATTGAATGCGGCGGTTTTCTTCTAAAATTTCAAAGTAAGTTTTTTTTTTCAATCGTGAAAACGTTTAGGTAACATGTTTTCACCCCATATAGTAATCAGTGTATATCATCAATTTTATTATATATTTTTTCCAAAGTGTGTCAGTTTTTTCAACACTCACTGTCATGCGGAATTAACCAAAGCCCTTTGAGGTAGTATAGACTTTTAACAAGCAACCATTAAAAAGTGTTGTGCTATGCCTGTACACAACGGTTACATGCTCCATTATGTTACTTTGATTGAGCTCCATTATGTATATTTGATTGACGCGTAATTTAGACAAAAAAATTATCTTCCGAGCCTTTAAGTATAAACCAGAAGTAGAGATGAAATAAGGACCATCCATCCCTGGCAACTCATCAGGCAAATGGGCCTTAAATCAGTTTTAAATATCAACTCCCGTTTGCGCTGAAATCATAAATTAGAAAACTGCAATAGTACAGCGCCAATAACTGACTTGTGTGCACGTCTCCTTATATTCCAAAAATATTCTGTGTTTATTGTAATAAAAATAATATCTCTAACTATGGGAGGCTGTTCCACTCGGTGGTGTGAGAAAAACAGCAAAACATTTAATTACAAAACCAACAGAATAACATTTCATCGGTAATTAAATTCTTCATTATAGCAAAACTCAAATTAAACTGGTCGATTTGAAGCCCGTCCTAATTCGAGACAATTGACGGGTGTCGTCAATTGTCTCGAATTAGGGCGGGCCAATCGGAGCGCAGTTGTCACAGTAATGATTTGGCAGAATAGTTTTCAAACAAATTAAACGACATTTCGTCTCTATTTCTGGTTATACATTCGATGGTGTCACAGGAACTATAATTTATGTAATAAAGTACCTGCGTTACCGAATTTCCAAAAAAAAATGGTGAATACAAATTGCTTCATACTAAGCCTGTAGGCTACATTTGTATGAGGCCGTTGTCTATGCCTGCCTAGTGTAATCAATCTTGAAAGTATTATGAAAGGTACTACCAAGCGTAACTTTTCAATAATACTGTCTTTCTTTTATAGGACACAATCCTAAACTCAATGTACCAGTTGTGGATCTTAGGCGCTCTCGACGGCACGGGGGCCTTGACGCCACTGGGTCGACAAATGGCCGAGTTCCCTTTGGACCCACCACAATGTCACATGCTCATCGTGTCAGCTGAAATGGGGTGTAGCGCTGAAGTACTTATTATTGGTAAGTATTTTTGACATTATTTCGATGCAATTAATCTATACTCTACCCAAATTCAACGTACATAACAAAACGTTACTAGGCAACCGACGACGGCATAGATAAAGAACGTTTTTTAAATTAGGTTAGATTATAAAGATATTTTTTTTAAATTCATACATATCTACCTATATACACTAAATTTAGCAGTATGTACATAAAAATACAAATAGGGGACATATTTTAAAGTTTTTCATCTGAATGTAAATTTGTTTCAGTACTAATGGACGAACTGTCAGTATAAGAATAAAGAATACAATAACGCAATTACTAATTATTGTAACGTCGTAACATTCACAATTCACAAAAAAAACAGACTAGGTAATTTAGTTACGTAAAAATAATACTTACCTGGCCAATTATTATAAAGTTTGCCATGTCATGTCAGCCGTAATTTATGAATAAAATAATGAAGGTTTTGATACCTAATAATGATACTTACTGCGCGGATGGACCAATAACTCAAGAAGATTCCTAATCGCGATACAAGATGGCGTAGTCGGGTATTTCATATCTATTGGTACACCAGATGGCGCGACGAGTACCAAATAGCTATGTTTGTAACTAATTTGTTTTACATTGACAAGCTCCTATTTATCAAAGCTAGTCTAATTTCTAGTGATAACAAACAAATCAACTTGATGGCGGTTATTGCATATATTTTATGGATACTGCCGGTTTCTGTTTTGTTTATGATTAGCACCATCTACCTATGTATGTTAGCGAGCGTTAATTTTTTTATTAGTTTATAATACACAATGCCATCTTTTGATACGCATGTTAGATTAGAAAATAATTTTAGCTCATAATCAATATTTGAATACTACATAGAAAAAACCGACTACTTATATTTCATATTAAAGAGGAATCTCGCGTACATTACCACTGACTTTGAAATATTCCAGTGTCAATGCTCTCGGTTCCTTCTGTATTCTACCGTCCGCAAGGGCGCGAAGAAGAGGCGGACTCCGTCAAGGAGAAGTTCCAAGTGCCCGAATCGGATCACCTCACGTTGTTGCATTTGTACAACCAGTGGAAGGCGAACAAGTGAGTAATTGATATTGTTACATCGACTTTTTATTACGTTTATTATGTTTTCGTGTGGGTTGTGATGATTGTGGTGTGAGTAGGAACTTTTACTATTTAGTTCAAGCCTCATTGTTCTTATTTCCGTTTTGCTTTTTATGATAACTTCATATTTGACCTCCATATCACCTAACTGAAAGTGACGATGAAGTCGACGATGGAGCATGCACTCTTAATAATGACTATTCACACTCGCCTTGAAAATGCCCAAGTTATAATGAACAAGTCTTCAAACAAGGAATTCCACTCCATTGCCATTCGCGTTAGCTTTGCTACCACCTTAAGGGTCACCTTAAATTACCGCTGCTATGCAATGTGATGCATTAAAACTAATAATAATAATAATAATAACGCACACACTCAACATAGCCCCACACTAGGGAAACCCTGTGTCGCGGGTGCCATGGACACACACATAGACAACCACAAATTACACCCAAACTCACGAGAGAAATAAATGTAGGCCATACAAATATTTCTCCCGGCCCGGGAATCGAACCCGGGGACCTCTGCGTGGCAGTCCGGTATGGTAACCGTTCGGCCACGGAGACAGTTTACTTAATAACACAAACTTTGTCATCTCCATAATAAGGTTGCATTTCTTTAGACAAACACGACATAACCCCTTCAGATGTTCACTTGTTTCGGCCTTAAGAGCTCTCATGCCAAAAAAGTTTTGACGTTGGCTCCGCCCAAATTTGTGAAACAAATATATGCCTGAAGTTCGCGTGACATGCGACAGGAGATGTTGAATTTTGCGCGTTAAAAGTACCAAATTTGTTTTAGCGGAATAACTCTAAAACTAAAGGATTAAAACAAAATCCGTAGTGACAGTTGTCGATCATGCCTAAAAAATATAATTAATTATCTAATTTTTGTCCTAATAACCTGTGGCATTTCGAGGATAAATCGAAAAAATTTGAAAATTAGAGGTCATTTCGTGATTTTTATCTATCGAGGAAACTTTATTGTTTTATGTTTCTGATTAATATCTATGCTTGAATATATCGTGTAGTTACTCATACAATATTTTTATTTAGCTTTAAAGTGGATATACCCCTCTAAAATCAAATCAAAGGTTAGAAATTTTTCCTCTGCTCCCTCTTAAGAAAATTATCCATAAATAATTATCCATCAAACGAAATTTATATGTCCATTTGCGTTAAATATTATGAGTGTCTTTATTTATAATATTAAGTGATAGTAAGCTAGAGCTACACGCCTGTCCATAACAGTTGCAGTGCCACTCAGAGCTTTAAATCACAAAGGTCTGAGGGGTACTGCCACTGCACCCGTCACCCTGGGACATAAGTTGTCCAATGTGTCTGTAATTTCACCAGCACCCTTACCTATATAGATTTTTTACCTAAACTTCGAGGAACATAGACAGAAAACGGAGACTGCCTTACGACAATATTTTTTAGGTCCTGGGCCTTTTCGGGATTCGGGAAATCATTTAACAACATTAAAAATTGACGTAATTGAGGACAGGCAGGTACACAGTGGGTCGGATCTGCGATACCTCTCTAAAAAAATGCCAATCGAGAGGATCGTATTGTGCTAATTAAATATTGTCATATCACATTTTGCCATAATCTAAGAGTTTAGTAGGAAAAAAAATTAATGTGTATTTTTTGTATGGGTTCATACCTTCAGTGCCCCATCGTTAAAAAAGTCTTAGTCGATCCAGTCTTGGAATCACTACATACGTATTATTAGACCTATCTTCTATAGATTTGCAAACTAAACGCGCGCCGAAACTTGCCTATTCACTATATTGCATATTTTCTGACGCGTATATTCCATATTGCGATGCCTGTCACGGTCCATGTGTTTGTTAGTTTATAGGTATATTAATAAGTATATTTTTGTAACGACAACACATGTAAAGCATTTATAAATAAATTAATTAATTAGAATTTCCACGTCTCCTACGTAAAGTATCGTATGTCGAAATTGCCAAGTTTACAGGGGAGCGTTTTAAAGTTCTGATTTCACTGAAATGAGTATATTACGTGACTTTAGCATTTTGTCTGTTTTATTCGGCAAAGCACGTTACTCACATAGAGTATTATAAAATCCTAGATATCGGTTAGATGATCTATGATGTTCTATTAGATGATCACTCTATGTGAGTAACGAGTGAATTCATAACTTTGAAATGCTCCCCTGTAAACTTAGCAATTTCGACATCCGACCCCTCCGACGTAAAGTATCGTATGTCGAAATTGCCAAGTTTACAGAGGAGCCTTTTAAATATTCTGAATTCACTGAAATAAGCACAACACGTGACTTTAGCATTTCTCAGTTTTATTCGACAAAGCTCGTTACTCACATAGAGTATTATAAAATCCTAGATATCGGTTAGATGATGTATTAGATGATCACTCTATTTGAGTAACGAGCTTTGCCGAATAAAACGGAGAACTTTTAAACGCTTCCCTGTAAACTTGGCAATTTCGACATACGATACTTTACGTAGGAGGGGTCGATTACGATACGATACGATGGGTTAGTACAATATAATGTACTGCACGTTTCCAGCTACTCAAGCTCCTGGTGCACCGAACATTTTGTGCACGGAAAGGCGATGCGCAAAGTACGCGAAGTGCGACAACAGCTGAAGGATATCCTCCAGCAACAACGACTGCCGTTGGTGTCCTGCGGGACTGACTGGGACACCGTCAGAAAATGTATCTGCTCGGGTGAGTTTATCTAGAACATTTGTTTAGTCCCGTCTGCCCTCAAATTGCCCGGTGACAGATTTATACTTTTAAGTTTGTTCTGTCTAGCGAACTTGTAGCACGACATTTGCGTGTGTCAATGTGAATATTAAAATCTGTTGTATTAGTTTGAAGCCTTTGCCTGTGTGTCGGTGGCATGATAATTCTTTTATTGTTGGAAAGAGGGTACATCAGTATTAGGATTTCAATTTGAAGAAGATATTCCAAGGTTGAAAAAAAGAAAGTATTCCTCTAAGGGTGGCAAACTAGGGGATGAACCCGGTTACGCGCACTTTATGGTATCCGGTATCAATAAAACTTGGCAAATAGGTGCAATTCCAACTTTTCTCGGTCGGTTTTTTAATAAAAAAAGTTGCAAATATAATTTGTGTTATTGGATGCCACTTTATAGTTTGATCCAAATTTGTTGAACGCGGTACCGAAAATACTGTATACTTCGTTTCAATCCATTTTAAACAAAAAGTAAACAAACAAGTCACTGACCTGACCACAGACGGTTTAGTGATGGCCAATTGTAATACAAACTAAAAATCGCATAATTAATTGAATGAATCGATTTGTTGAATTGAGTCATACTAGCGGTTTTCTCTACATAAACTATATAAGCATATTTAAAATTTCCTAAATTTTCATTTTAAGCCCTCCTTCAAATCCTTAAACTCAGATACTCGTTTGAAATATTCGATTTACTAATCGATTACAAAAACTTTAATTTTTTTTTTTTTTGAAAAAATGTATAGATCAAAAATAACTTTTCAAATGCAATTTTACGATGACAAATAAATATTGATAGAAAAAGTGATGTAATATCGAAATCTTCGAAATATACGTGAAAGTGTTACTTATTTGATTTATTGTATGATTGCCATTGACTTACAATTATATGGACGTCGGGTCCGCGCTAAAAAGTGTCCGAACTTATAGGGCGTTAAAATCGTATACAGAGCGTCATTCACGCTCTAGTCTTCGTTTGTTCGACTGACAGCGAAGCAAGCAAAATTAGACAGTACTGCGATGACATTGTAATTTAAATTCAACGTTTTAGCTTTTTCATATTCCTTTACATGTCACTACGTTTAAATAGGTTGACTTGGGACATTTTTTTCGTGGTTTTTGTATTAGACCCGTCGTCCATTTATTTGTAAGTCAATGATGATTGCTTTAGAATTTTAACCAAACAGTTTTCTTTACTTTTTGTTGAAAATGGATTGGGACAGACTATAGATGTCAACATTTAGTATGCCTGTGTTTTTCTCGCGATTTGCCTAACCTACCCCGGCGCGTTCCCCGCAGCGTACTTCCAGCAGGCGGCGCGGCTGAAGGGCATCGGCGAGTACGTGAACAGCCGCACCGGCATGCCGTGCCACCTGCACCCCACGTCGGCGCTGTTCGGGCTGGGCACGTCGCCCGACTACGTGGTGTACCACGAGCTCATGATGACCACCAAGGAGTACATGCACTGCGTCACGGCCGTGGACGGCCGCTGGCTGGCCGAGCTGGGGCCCATGTTCTTCTCGGTCAAGGAGACGGGCAAGTTAGTCTCTCCGTTCAATAATGCCTCTACTACATAATAATAAAAAATAAACAACTGCCTCCGTGGCCGAACTATTTGTATAGCCCATATTTATGTCTCTCGTGAGTTTGGGTGTAATTTGCGTGTCTGTGGCACTCGCGATACAGTAATAATGTAATAAATAACCCAAGTGCAACAACAGTCACAGACAGCACAACCAAAAATGTACCCGACTAGCGTGTCGCCTCTCCACGAGGCTTCCTCAGGGGTTATTGATTGTTCGACACTCGGCCGAAGAAAATTAGGAACTTAGATAGAAAATTGAACATTACTGACATTTCAATTATATTGATGTTTTCTAAAAACTTATATTTTTGAAACACCTTTAAAGTTTCAGTAATGTGAAAAAAAAACATGGATTTCACATAGGAGTACAAGAATTGTTATATTTCAGAACCAACCGCGACAAACGCAAAGAAGCAGCAGTTCACCTGCAAAGAATGGAAGAAGAGATGAAGCAAGCAGAGCAGAAGATGGCCGAAGACAAAAAGAAGAAAGACCAAGACGTGCCCATCAAACAGGAGATCGCTACCCCCGGCTTAAGTACGCCCAGACGAACACCGCATAGGCTTGGCTTGTAAATAGATTTACCAGCCAGAGGACGTGTACCGCTGCACATAAACCTCTCCCCAACAGAATACAGCCACAATCAGAATTGCAATTATTCGTATGGTCATATTAACAGAAAACATTCACATATAAGGTAGTAAATTTGTAGCAGGATGTTTCTGTCTATGTCCTTGGCACCCACGATAAAGGGTTTCCCTAGTGCGGGATTATGTGTGTGTGCGTTATTTATCCCATACAAAACACACGTATCCCATAAAAGACACGTATTCCATATAAAACACACGTGCCTCATATAAAATACACGTATCCAATACAAAACACGTATCCTACTTAAAACACATGTATTTCATGCAAGACATCCGTATCCCACACAAGAACACGTATGCCACACAAGTGCGCACGAACCCTAAGCCAACCACCACACCTACCGAAACTTTGGCACTACCATTTCTTCCAAACAAATATTTGTTTATTTTTTTAAACTAATCTCTGATTGGTAGAAATTTAAAGCGCAACAAAGCTACAAGTTCGCGTTGTTCGCTTGCTAATAATATCAAACTAAAACTGCCACCTTTTGCTTCTGATCGTGATAACCTCCTTTGGAGAACGCTTACCTTCTGTATAGGGGACCTGGGTTCGATTGTCATTGGTGGTCCTCCACCTTTAAACATTTTTTAATCAAATGCAGGATTAATGCCTGCCCAGCAGTGACAGACGTATATAGGTTGATGATCTCTGAACGATGTAGGAATGATTTACAATGATCCTGCTGGGGGAAAAGTGAGTGACCGTCAGGATGGCTGGTCGCCTGTGGCGTCTGGCACTGAGTGTATATTCAACAATTGCTACCTTTTCTAAATACTTGCTACCTTTGATATATTCTGAGAAATTTTAAAAAATAATCCTGATATCAGAAAGGCTGGTCGCCACTTTGTTCAGCATGAAGGGAGCAGATTTTCCCGAAGTATGTCTTACCAATAATAATAATAATAACGCACACACTCGACATAGCCCCGCACTAAAGAAACCCTGTGTCGCGGGTGCCATGGACACACAAATAGACAATTACAAATTACACCCAAACTCACGCGACAAATAAATGTAGTCCATACAAATATTTCTCCCGGCCCGGGAATCGAACGACGGACCTCTGCATGGCAGTCCGGCATGGTAACCGTTCGGTCAGAGAGGCAGTTAAATAATTGCTACCTATTTAGAAGTGCCTGATTAAATTAAAAAAAGCAAAAGTTGTTAGTGCTTTATTGCCATAATACAAACGGCAGGCGTTGGCACTTCTTCGTAAAATTTTCAATTAGTTATATTTTTTTAACGAATGTAGCTAAGAAGCGTATACCTTTAATTCGTGAAATTAGCAAATCAAAGGTAGCAATTATTTAGAAAAGGTAGCAATTCTTGAATATACACTCAGTGCCAGATGCCACAGGCGACCAGCCGTCCTGACGGTCACAAAAGGGAAGTTTCTAAAGCGCAGGCCACACCGCGAAAGAAGCTAGCTAACCTAGCGTAGTTCACATAGTTGCATGCAATGCTAAACTAAGAAAATACGTAGTAATTTGTGACGTGCTAGACTATGGATACCTGCGGGGGTGAAGAACGGCAAAAGGGCGACATATTTTACATAGCTTAGCGGGATCGTTGGGTTAGTTTAGTTATAGTACCTGCACGCTATAATGGCCGTTTTGACGTTTGTCCGCTCATGAAGTTTCGTATTAATTCATAACTACGTTGAAGGAGCACATTGTTGCAGTACATTGTTGTCAATAGTGACGTGCAGTAAAATTTATGGATGTATAAATTTACGACACAACTCGGCATTTGTTTTTCGAAATTCGAAATTTTTAAAATGAAATCTAATACGATTTGCCACATATCGCTGTCCAGCACAACTTCTACCTCCGGCAAACTCGCGTCAAAGCGCAAAACAAAACAGTTTCGAATTGACAATATATTAAGTAAACATTTTTATTTTCTTTTTATTAAAACTTTTTAATCAGCAACCCTTGCAATACTAGTTATAAATCTAAAATCTTATAATTGCGATTCGCATTTCATTATATTTTTTTCGAGAATGAATTGAGATTTGACCCGACTATTGTAATCTGTCAAAACTGCAATCTTAGCGTGCCGGTACTGTAGCTCGGTTAGCTTTGTGAACCGAAGTATGAAAGATGCCCCGGCTACATGACCTGTGCTAAGTTAGCTCAACTTCGTTCGCGGTGTGGCCTGTGCATAAAACCACATTAATGTTAGATAAGAAATTAAGTTAGTTATATAAGTAACGCGTTGTATTATGACATGTTGTAATATAATACATAAGGGTTTTGAAATAAAAATCGTGTTATTGAAACAAAACTTTTATTCAATAAATTGTCGTAATTGCAAACTTAATAATCTGAACTAGGGAAGCTGTGGAGAAGTATGCGGACTAACATAGAAAAGTACAATTATATAGGGATTTTTATTAATTTAGCTATAGCCAAACCCGCCCGTAGCGAGCCACGTCAACGGCCACGATACACGGCTCTGCGGTGTGTCATAGTGACGGCACATTCGTGGACATCGGGTTCGTGTATCGTGCGTTTGGCAAATCAGCGGGTTTATAAAACCTTTTTAGGGCGGTTCCAACGTTTTACATTGCATTTCGAGTATCTTTCTCCATTTGTCTTTCGTTTTCTGTCCATTTATCAAATATGATCACTCTGGAGAATGTTGCAGGGTTTTTAAAGATAGAGTCGAAAGTAGCACTTTGGGAGTCGATTCGATAGATACACTAAACTAAATTTGACAATTCCAATATTTCGCACCCCTACTCTATCTATCTAATGGAGCAATAAACGTTTTTGACGTATCTCCACTTACAACATTCTTCCATGAGGGGTGCGATTTTTTATCAACAAAGGTTAAATATAGTTTGATCCTTCGTCATGTTAAGACAGTTTAAGAGTCCCGTTTTCTTAACTATATCCACCACAATTGGAATCCAAAACTAACTGTAACAGTGATATGTCAAAATTAGTCTGACTTGCATGATTGAATTGACCCCAATTTAGTAATGGGAGCCATTTTAAATAAAAGGCTTTATTAACAGGTTAAAATGCTTACGAGACGTTGCCAATCGAAAGCAGCGTGGGAAAAGTTCTTAAGTTTTCCGTTGCACAGAAAGATTGAGCGAAAGACTAAAATCCAATTCTCACTTTTGACAATGTTTTCGCAAATGGATCACAATCTCCGCGGACCATTACCACCCGCGCAGTTAGTGCAACTCTGATATCGATCTCACAATACGCACTAATTTGAATCTAGCTTTACATAAAATTGGATGTTACATATGGAAGTTGAAAATATTTTCTACATTCGTTAGTCTTAATCATTATTGCTTTTATTTATTTATTTACAAATTTATAATCGGTGATAATAAAATGATGATGGCAAATATTTTGATACATTTCATATATATTTGAAATTTTTCCAAAGTATTTGTATGATGAATTTCTCTGTACATTGAGATCTAGTCACGAACATTTTTAGACTATACTAAGTTTAATACAAGGTATCTAGATTTAAACAAAAACACTTCAGTTTAAATTAAAATAGACCAAATTAAGAAAAAACTTGCAACATTTTCGTACAGTCGCCCGCAATGAAATGTACTGGTACACATCACTGAGTAATTATTAATTTTACTTACTAAACGTTTGCCAGCAAAGAATATTGTAGTAATATGACGTGGATTCTGGCCGTAAACTAAATTTATGTTCAGACATCGAGTATATAACCAGAAATGGAGACGAAATGTCATTTGATTTGTTTGAAAATTATTGTGCTAAATTCATTACGGTGACTCGAATTCGAAACAATTGACGGGTGTCATCAATTAGTGGATGGCCATTATTTCGACTCTATTTCTGGTTATATACTTGATGTGTTCAGTGCATCATTTCATTGCGTATTTTTATGTAACTTTAACAATATTTAACTAATCTATTTTAACTTGAACTCTCATATAAATCTATATATAAATCTAATAAATCAAATACAAGGTCTTTAAATATGACAACACGACGAAGTGATAGTAGGTGTCAGCCAGATCACTTTAGAATGCGGTGAAAAATAAATAGGCATTTGAAGCGATTATATTTTACAACAATTTAGTAGGATGCTTAATAAGCGCTAATCAAAAACATAAATAAGCCTTATTGTTGGACAAAATGCCATTGCGACAGAAGGGAGTCAGTGTTGAAAAAATGCAATTGCAACAGCGCGTGAATGTTTGACAAAATTAAATTACGACAACAGCACCTCAATGTTTAACAAAATGTAATTACAACAACAATTTGTAATTGGATTGCTAACTAATAACCTAATTATTACTGAGTTGTTTCTAATTGAATCTACATTAACTAAAGGTAGTGTTTTTTTGACATAAGTATTTAGAACTTTGTAGTTCAACTAGAACTACAAAATTCTAAATACTTATGTCAGTTCTTATGTAATTTCTAGCTGCACTTTAATTTTGTCCAACCTTTCTGGATCTTAATCCTTCATAAAGTTAGAGTTTTCTTAAATTCAATTAAATAAGATAATATCATTTTCTGCAAATCTTTATTATTAATTTAATATATAAATTAGTGAACGAGCCTCTCAAAATTAGACTAGAATTTCAAATATCGACTATATAATGTAGAAAAAATTTATTTATTTAATTTTAATTCAACACGAATTAATGTGGTTTAGCCTAGTGCCACATCTACCGACACTTCCCTTTTCTTTCAAACAAAGAACGTTAAAAATTGCGTGGCAACAGGCACAACACTTAATTAAAACGATCTCTAATTGAAAGAAATGGCAGAGTTTTGACTGACACCATTAAAAAAAATAGATAAGTAACAAAGAATTGAATTAACGTTATTTCAAACTAAACGAAGTGACACCTTCAGTAATAAAATTATACAATTACAAATGTAAACGGCGCTGATTGCCGAAAATTCCAGTACAAGGATCGATAATAACAAGAACACAGGAGAATTTCGATAACTTGACCTGTAGCTCAGTTGATTAGAGCAGCGCTACGGTACAGCATGGTCATGGGTTCAAGTCCCATGGGGTTAAAATAATTTTTCTACGTATTCGATCTTTGTATTAATAGAAAAGTATTTTTTTTAGAAACTGACAAAATAATTTAAAAAAATCTCAAAGTCATACTGGCATACGCAAATTGACAGTGTTGTCCTGTCACTCTGAAATTAAATCGTATACGAATAACATCGTATACGCAATTTTTAAGACAACATATAACGCTACTATATATAAGATAATACTATCTCAATTGCCATGGGGTATGACTGACATCAGGTATGTTATTTTTAACCGACTTCAAAAACAAGAGGAGGTTCTCAATTCGACTGTATGTATGTTACGCGATAACTCCGGTATTTGTGAAACGATTTTCATTATAATTTTTTTGTT